TCTTCAGACACGCAATAAATGGATTACTACATCCGTCAATATCAACTCTGATAAACTGGAAGATGAAGTATAACAATGCGTGCCTGGAACACAGGCGTGGCGTTTGCAGTCGTAGGCAAGCTTTTGTCTTCAAGTAAACCCTGTTTTATCATTTCTCAGAATTTCCAACAGAGAAGACGTATCCAAAGAAAACTAACTTCAAAACAAGGAAGCATGCAATATGGGATCCAAACATAAAAAGAAAAGAGTCACCGTGGATTGGGATTAAACGTACTAAGATGACATTATCGTTCATGCACCAACCAGAGAACTACATGGTAAGCGTCTGTGCTTAGTGCTTGAACGTTTCAATATCCATAATGTTGCTATTAATGCAAATAAATTTACATTTTCTACACCAAAATTTTCCTGTTTGGGTTTTCTTGTTGATGAACATGGTTTCCGTCCTGATCCAACTCGGTTTTTCTTCTCTTTCTAACGCACCTTCGCCCAAGTCAGTTGAAGAACTTCGTTCATTACTCGGTTCACTTCAGTATTATTTTAGATTCATTCCAGATTTTGCCACAAAAGCAGAATCATTGTTCACACTTGTCTCACAGCGAACATTTCAATGAACACTTATTCATGAAATCACCTTTAGAAGCTTACTAATTTTTCTTTCCATTGATTTAGTTTTACATGCTGTTTCACCCAAAGCACATTCGACAGTAACTGCAGACGCATCACCAGTTGGCATCACAGCCGTGTTAGGGCAGAACGGTCATCCAGTTCCATGCATTTCTCGCAGACTCACTCTTCTTGAACGTGGTTACTCCCAAACACATAGAGAGGCTTTTGCAGTATACTGGGCTGTTACTCGATTTCACAAATACTTATATGGCTCACATTTCACAATTATATCGGACCACGAGGCATTGACGTTCATTTACAATCCCCACCGATCCCTGGCAAAGTCATCAGCGGCCATGGTACAGCAATGGAGCGTCACACTAGCCGGTTATTCTTACGATATTCAACATCGTAAGGCTCATATGATTCAATACGTGGACTATTAATCGCGTTATGCCTTGGCAGAGGAGCCTGGTACATCTGATTGTTTAATGATACAACCGCTTTCTGTTAGTCGATTCTGTGCTGGTTGATGGTTTGTGTCAGGAAGGTTAAATTTCAAAATAACCCGGTAGAAAAAGTCATGTTTAGCGAGAATAGCCAAAAAGAAGCCGCAGCTGGGTGAGCCTCCAGCCTGAAGTGATCGATCACTATACTTGAAGTTCAACGTCAGGTTCGCAGAACAGAAGGCTACCTTGAAATTTATCAATGAGTGTGTGCACAACGATCGTTATCCGAAAATCTACAGTTTGCGCCGTTGAATCTTATCCTGTGTGGCGGTTCATAAACATATACAAAAGGAAGAGGAGTAGTCTGAGTCAACCAATCCGCACTTGAGTGACGCGTAGCCGAACCGACGCGAATCCCGAAATAAAACACGATTGATTCGTAATGTTCTACGGTACTGAATTAACGAAACATTACAAATGTACAATAAAGCAAACCTCAAATATGCGGCCAAGAGCTTTTAAGCAAGCGAGCCAAATATGAAGAGAGAGACAAACAGTTGCTCACGTTTTCAAACCACGCAAACTTCAAATTTGCCGGGCATCGATTTAACAGATAAATAATGATGTATGATGTTTGTGATTGAGAATGTCAATATAGGAGCAACACACAGATGGAGTTATTTCACCATAAATCATCATGGGTTTGGAAGGATTTTCAAACATTCAGCATGAAATACAGGCTCTACCAGCTTCAGCTTTGCGATAAAGCAAAGCAAATTCCTAAGCTGCTCTATCGCCATATAGCCCAGACTAGAAGTAATATTAATAATAAGTGTATGTTTCACGGAGCCATGTGAGGCCTGCATAGGCATGATCAACTCAACAACATAATCCTGCGTATAGGAAAGGCCCAAAATAAAAAAGTTGAAGGTCACAGTGAACATAATTACAAATGGGACACAGATTGGACAAGGTATCAGATAAAAGAGGTGAGGATGGCGGAATGTTCTAAAAGAGCAACTTGGTGGAATTAGGACAAAAAACAAGAACCGCTATACCGAATGAATGGTGGGATGATTGGAAACACGACAAGCAGTGAGTAAAATAACAAAAGGCGGCCTGCAGATCGTTGGATGGAAACCGGCACAAGAGCGGATAGGGTGAAGCAGAACAGAGGGAAACAGTCATGGAATATATATGCACTTCACGTTGTGAAACAGATGAGTTCTGAAGGGTCTTGTTCGATGGTCACAAGGGCTCCGATCA